CTAATTACATGATAGAACAACAAAATATCGATAAATAAAGCCTAACATAAAAAATAAGCATAACAGGAACTATAATTGGATAATATTATAATACTAAATATAGTTCCTGTTATGCTTATTTTTTTATGTTGGGCTTTATTTAGGCTTTTTTTATGAGTGCTTGACCCTGTGAGGATAAGTTTATTGGGCACTGGCAGTGGAGGCTGAGAGCACGTGACAGTATTCAGGGTGATGGGGACGTGGTCCAGAGGAGCATCCTTCAAGGTACTACACAGCTGATGGTCTGCATTACCTACTCCACAGGCCAGCAAAGGAAGGAGTGATATGCTGGAGTTGAGAGGATTCCAGAATGCTGCTTGAAATGAAAAATTATCATATTTTACTAAAAAATTCAGAAGCTAGATTTTTATGCTCTTGTCATATCATAAGGAATTTTTATTCCTGCCATAAGTCTTACAGTATACTACATTAAGGTCTATAATATTTTAGCAAGGGTACATTAGATTCACATGAACAGCTGAAATTACAGCATGATAATGTATAAAAAGAGAAAAAGAATTTGTTTAAAAAAATAAATATAAGGATACAAAATATGAATTTATGAATGGAGAATATATATCTTTGGCCATTTTATAACATCACTAAGAGGCCTGATGCACACAATTTGTGCAAGGGGCTTGGCTCTCACAGCCGCGGTGGCTTGCCTTGGCCCTCACACCCCCGGCTTCATCCAGAAGGTTGTTCGCCTGTCTGATCTAATTAGCATATTATGCTTTTATTATTATAGATAGTTTTAAAAAGACCAGCCTACATTATTTTTCCTCCTGGGGTAGCAAGATGCTCAGTTAATAATGGAACACACTACTAAAGGCTGAAAATGAATCTTTAACATTATCAGCCGAAGCCAGTTTGGCTCAGTGGATAGAGAGTCGGCCTGCGGACTGAGGGGCCCCAGGTTCGATTCCAGTCAAGGGCATGTACCTTGGTTTCAGGCACATCCCCAGTGGGGGATGTGCAGGAGGCAGCTGATCGATGTATCTCTCTCATCGATGTTTCTAACTCTATCTCTCTCCCTTCCTCTCTGTAAAAAATCAATAAAATATATTTAAAAAAAAAACATTATCATTGTCAGCATCTCTATTAGTTGGCCTAACTTGTACTTTGGAAAACAACAAGAAAAACAGGATAAAAATACCTAGCAATGACGACGATGTCCTCTCTGAATGCTTATGCACCTGCAGTAAATGTTGGAAAAGTGGCTGCAATTCTTTAGACCTATGTGAGCACACCACTTAGCCATTGCATTCCTCTTAGCTGTTGTGTTCCTCTCATCAAGAGGCAGTGTCTGTGTCCCCAGCCCTTGAGTCTGATCAGACTTGTGACTTGGTGTGACCAACAGATTCCAACAGAAGTTACAGTTTGCCAGTTCTGAGCCTCTTGGAAGGCCACCATGTGAACAGCACCAAACTAGCCTCCTGGGGGATGAGTGATTATGTGGCGCAGATCTAACCCATCCCAGCTGAAGCCATCTCGGACCAGCACATCCCAACTGACCAATAGCTGACCACAGACACATGAGTGACCTGGGCCAAATCCAGGACCACTCAACTGAACCCAGACCTAACTGCTAACCCTGAGAGTCATGAATAAAACAACTGGTTGTTTTAAGACTAAAATTTGGGGTTGGTTGTAAAGTGTCAAAACCTAACTGACTCAACATATGAGAGGAACAATCGTCTTCTAGTCTTTAAACTTAGTTTCCTTTTGTCAAAAGAGTCTCTAATAAAATGTTTCTACCTCACTTCATTTTACAGTCCTGCTTGTAGGATTTTATTCTTTACTAGAGGCCCAATGCACGAAATTCATGCAAGAGTAGGCCTTCCTTCCCCCTGCTGCCAGCACCGGCTTCCCTCTGGCACCCAGGACTCGGGCTTCCCTGCAGCCCTGGCTTTGTCTGGAAGGACATCTGGCCTAATTATCATATTGCATTTTTATTATTAAAAATTAAAAAAAGATAGATGTGGCTACTTGCTCTATCATTAGGAAAGCTTTCTGCCCAGCCAGCAAACACAGGGTGTTCTCCCACTGACCCCAGAGGCCCTATTTTTACATGACTGCCCTGAAAGGAAAATTGGCTTGGAAATTAATTTTTCACATTTATTTATAAGCCATTTCAAATTTCTGACCTGTGACAAATCTTCCATAATGAAGAGCTGAACACAGTTGTGTGAGACCATCGGAGTCCCTGGAATAAAAGTTGCACTTCACCCTCCAGTGGTGCAAGTACATGCTCCTACCTCATCTTGAGGTCTGAGAAACAAACTTTAATTTATGAAATCAGGAAGCTAAAAGGAACCTTGAACTCCTAAATTATACGTTCCCAAGAGAATTCCTAAGATAACAATCATACTCACCATCACCTGATGTTTGCATAATTCTTTTTTTTTTAATCTCTAGGAAATCTACAGGGAAGTCTGAGCAAATGGCCTCATAAGAAAGCTCTTCATGAAATAGAATAAATGAAAAAAAGGTAAGGGAAGCTAGTAACAGAATCAAAAGGATGATGGTCAGGTGGAAGATTCACAGGGGATAAAAAAGATCTGTAGCCACACAATTTTTCAGGACTGAACTCTCAGTAATAAGATGTCTAATTCAGGTTTATCACCACGAATCTCTTGGAAAGTAGTTAGAGTCTCATTTTCCACATCTGATTCCCTTTTATATTAGAGAAAGTTTTCTCCCTTCTGTATCCAATTCCAGTGCCAAACAGTTGCCACAATTGCTCTGCCCAATTCTCTGATTACAGTGGGAGTAGCCATTTCTCTGCCCTGCAGGAGAAGTGTGCAACTCTAGATAACTGCTTCTGAGAGCACCCATATATGTTTACAGCCAACGCAGTGTCTGTCTGGCCAAACTCTCACAAAGCTCCTAGAACTCACAGTGGTGTGAAACAACCCACAACGACATTTTAGGCTTCAACCCTTGAGCTAAAGCAGTCCATATTGGATATTGTTCTAAAGTGAAGCTCCAGATAAACTGGAGAACTAGCAAAGCTCTGTCAGATAAGAAATGGTGGAAGAAATTGGACATTACCTAGACCAGTGGTCGGCAAACCGCGGCTCATGAGCCACATGTGGCTCTTTGGCCCCTTGAGTGTGGCTCTTCCACAAAATACCACATGCGGGCGCGCAAGTACAGTGTGATTGAAACGTCGTCGTGGCCCATGCTCAGAAGTTGGTTTTCAGCCTGGGCGAGTCTATTTTGAAGAAGTGGCGGTACAAGAAGTGGGGGTGTTGGTCGGTTGGGCGACAGGAGACGCGGTGCAGGCGGGCCACGGGATACACAGCGCCGGGGGCGGAGCGGGGGCGCGATTCATGCATGAGTTGAGGAAGGGAGAGTTGGAAGGGATCGACCTCAGTGAACGTACCTCAATCAGATTCAGGACGTTTTTAGCAAAGGCCATCTTAGGAGTACCCTAATTAAGTTAATAACAATGTACCTACCTATATAGTTTAAGTTTAAAAAATTTGGCTCTCAAAAGAAATTTCAATCATTATACTGTTGATATTTGGCTCTGTTGACTAATGAGTTTGCCGACCACTGAGTCCTAGACAAATGAGATGATGATTCGAGAGGCACAAATGAGCCGCTGGTAGGTCCAGCTCTTACCAGCTCCCAAGTGCAGACTGGTAAATGTGCAGGAATTTGACAAGCTGGTTGACATCACATTGGTAGTTTGATATACACTATGACAGAAGAATTTACACCATGGAAATGAACAAATACCACAAATAAGAACTTTTTCTGAAAAGCTGATTACCAAACATTTATCAGCATATTACAGAAAATAGCTATCCTCAATTATTTTAAGGATTATCTTTAGAGATATTATATTGGGTCATCAGCAATGCTTTGTAAAGCTTTCCAACAGTGTCTACAAAGGCAACTTTATCCTAAAATTTACTTGCTCCTGTTTCCCCCTTATTGATAATTTAATTGATTCATGACATGTCATTATTCCTGGGTAAATTAGGGGAGAGGGAAGGAGAATAATTGATATTTACATATGTAGCAGTTTCTCATAACTCAATTTTATGCAACTAATTACCTAAGTATAATGCTGAAATTTATTTTAGCAAGTGACAGATTGTAGGCAGGATCTTAGAGAATATTCTGCCTTTCAATCTTCATAGATTCTGGAGTTGAAAGTAGCAGACCACTTTACTGAGTGTTGTCAAACGTTCCTCAGATCCCTCACCGTCAAGGAGACTGTGAATGCCAACAAAAGAGCCAGGATTGTCACCCACAGGGAACATTTAAAACTAAGTTAAGAGCACAGATTAAGTAAATTCATTGGTGTCAACTTCCAGAAGGCAGTGTGTAAAGTGTGTAAAGAAGTCAAAAAGAATGTGCAATAGGCGTGGACTGCCAGCATTTACCAAATCTCCACTAAAAACAGCCCATTCCTTAGGTCCCTTAGATTGGTCAATTACCTCTGGGATAACCCTCTCAGAAGTGCCTCCCACCTCCTGAGATCGGATTGTCCTGGGGCACACTAGCAGCTTGTCTTCTGAGCAACACCATCTCGGGTCATTAATTACAGGAGGAAAGAGGACCGGTGACTACCACAGAAGTTCTGCTGTTATATCAAGTGGGCTGGAGGAAGACATTGACGCCAAGACTGGAACAAGTCCCCGCAGTCCACTCTTAGTGGCACATTGTAGGTTGTGTCTCTTTTTGGAGAAAGTCATCATGTCACTCTGTTGAGAAAAGAATGGTGACCAGCAGGGACACTTCTACAGTGAAATAATGAAGCCTATGCCAGACATGCACAGAAGTTCTACTTGCTATCTTCCTCGGACCAGGGTGTAAGAAACTCAATTAAGAAGAATGAGGGAATAGCTTATTTTGCTCCCAAAATACTGGGGCACACAGGACTTTTGCTATTCTCCTGGAGTGACCAAAAAAAAAAAAACATGCCTTGGGTCATGTGACCCTGGAGGCAGATCTCATAAAGGCGCCGAGTGGAGCCTCTGAAATCTGTAGAGATTTTTCTCTGCAAATGCAGGAGGAAAGCAGGTGGATGGATAAATAAGCATGGCCTTGCTCCTGGTCTCCTTGCTGGCCTTCCTGAGCTTGGGCTCAGGATGTCATCATCGGATCTGTCACTGCTCTAACAGGGTTTTCCTCTGCCAGGACAGCGAGGTGACAGAGATTCCCCCCGACCTCCCCAGGAATGCGGTTGAACTGTGAGTATCAGAGGCTGCGGGAACTGCCACTGCAGGCATTTGTGTATTGGGCGCTGGTATTATTTTCACATTCGGCTGATAACTGCTGAGCTGAAATATTTCTGAATGCTTGAATAAAACAAACTCCCCCATCTTAACACTCGCGCCCTGTGTCTCTCCAAGGATTTTGGTGAGCGTTGGTCATGGTGTTTGTAGGGGAAGTCATTGCGGAAACCTGAATGTCTTTTCAACATATCTGCTCTTGGGTTCCATACTCTCTTTGGTGGAAAAGAAAAACTAAGAAAAAGTAGAAACTTAGAAGACCTAGGAATTAGAGGCAGAAAAACAGCTTTGATTTAAGTGGTATGTACAATGTGAGTCTCCTGAGGACACTGAATTTAAGAATACAAGGGCCCTTTTTGCTTTGGAGGCAGGAGCAAATAATCCCTGAACTGAGATTCTGCTTCCTGGGGAGAAAGAGGGATGGAGGAGACAGGGGAAGGGGTGTGAAGAAAGGGAGAGAGAAGAGAAAAACGAGCTGGAGAGGGAAAGAGAGACAGGATAATCTTTCATACAGGTGAAAATATACGATTCACAACTTTAGATTTTTACTGAACTGTTTCAAGAGAAAGTAGACAGACAAGGTTGGACAAGAACTTCAATATAATGTAACTCTATCTCTTTATTTTGCAAATGAGATATCTGGGGTCTGAAGAGTCAAGAGAATTGCCCAAAGTCTCACAATGAGTTGAGGCAGAGCCAAAACTAGAAATCAGGCCTTTTGACTCACATTCCACTGCTGCTTTCTCCCCCCGAAATCCCATGTCTGTCTACATTAGAGAAAGATTATTGCTTCCCCTGAGAACTGGCAACTTGTGGCTCAGAGATTATAGATATCCTTGGTGTTTTTAGTACAAGGGTTTTAAACAGAAGCCACTATTCTGGAAGCCTGTTTCAAACCTGGTCCCCCCTAAAGCTATGGATGACTCTTGCTTTATTGCAGAAGGTGGTCATCTCTTCAGTTCACTCAAACACATTGGTGTTGTATTTCCGAGTTTCACTCAGGGACAAATGGTCACAGACTTGGTTGGTCCTGCTGCTACTTTTTCCCTTGATAACCCAAGTCCTCAGTTCCTATCCAGAGAAAGCTGCAGTGCAGGGAAAATAACTGGTCTGCTCTGTGTTTTGGCTACACTGCTTCAGATGAGACAGTTAGTCCTGATTAAGGAAAAGTCAGTCTGGTTTACTAGGTAATAATAAGCACAGGAGATGGCCCATGTACCTGAGCTCCTATAAGAAGTCACTTGCTTCTATGACTTTGAACAATTACTTAACCCCCTTTGAGCCTCGGTTTGTCACTTCTAAAGTAGTTTTAATCCAACCTGCTTGGTTGGATTGTTGTGAACACTAACAATTATACCCACACACACACCCAAATACACAATCATTTCCATGTCTCCTGTCTCTTCTCCACTTCTTCCTATGTTTTTCCTGTGGGTCAAATAGTGACAACCAGTTAATAAAGCAGAGAGTTCCTAATGAGGTTTAATTTGGGGTGATGCTCCTCTATCCAAAACTCCCTTCTTTACTAGACTATCTGCTTTCTGATATCTTTTTACAAGAAGAGAATAATTAAAAATAGGGATAAAAAAAGAGAAAACAAAAAAAAGGCAAAAGGAAAAAATAAAACAAAACAAAGAGAATATTTTGTTTTTAAATTCTGCATTGAAAACAGAAAGGAAAGGAGGCATGGTGGAAGGAAAAGGAAAGAATAAAATTCACCCTCAAACCCCAAACCTCAGGGAGTGTGTGTATATGAGTTAGTGTGAGAGGAGCAGGGAAAGGATTTTTTTAAAAATTCATACTAAGATATAAATGAGTAACTACATGTCTCTGCCCAAGAGCTTGCAACTGAGGAAAGAGATTGTAAAAGAGGATGTGTCCAACAGAACAGTAGAAACCAATGTCACACTCTTGACAAAAGCTAACCCATGGTCAACCCCTTACTTAGGGGTACGTAACAGTGCCCAAAGGTGCTAAAACTATGAAGGGGAAGAGAGTGCTTGCCTGTTATTGGCATTTTCCCCACCTGAGGGATGAGTATGGTTGTTTGAAAGCTTTGAGGACTAAAATAGTCCTCCCAGATATCTAATCTTGAGAGGATTCTTTCCTCTGCACACTCATTAGTAGGGCATGAGTTGAACCATTCTGGAGTTCAGATTGGCAATCTTCTCAGCAAGATGTATTGAGGAAAGGAAGATAAATGTTACTTTGGCAGTTAGACAAAAAAAAAGAAAATTATTTGGGGATATTTTTCAGGTCAGTTTGTTAATCTGATAAAGAGCAGATCAATTGCCAAGTGAACTAGAACTCAGACATTGTGGTAGGATGAAAGACCAATTATTTTTGCTTCCTTAAAAGGACTGGACCAGGGTTATCTGGAACACTGGTAGAAGGAAGATGAAGTGGCTTGTTCAACTAAGTCTTTCTAATTCGCCCTGCAGTCTTCCAAGTTTGGGTATTGACTTTAATGATGATCACATCAGGTGGAGGTTGATGGGCTTCCAGGATGGCAATTGCTTAATCCATCAACATGTCAAAGCGTCATTGTCAGTCAGGTTCCCCAGGGGAAACCCCTCCTAATTTTACCTTGTACATTTTCATCCTATCCGATTCCATCCACCTTGCAGTCGTCTCATTTTATATACCTTCCAGGTATTGCTAAAGATTTCTAATACCCTACAATCTACACATGCTGATATCAACAGCAAAAGCACACAAAAGTACCATCAACAGGCAGGTGGATTCATTTACTGAGGGGCCCCTATTATTTGCTTCATGCTTCACACATACTACTTCATTAAAACTTCATAATAGAACTGCGAGTTTGGTATTATTGCTCCATTATTCAAATGAGGCAAACTAAAGAACAGAAAAGTCCATTCAGTAACTTGAGCACAGTCACCCTTGCAGCTCCCAGATGGCAGAGCTGGGATCCAAACTTAAGCCTATTTATATCTCCTCTGTGTGTGTGTACAGTGAAAGTCTTCTGACTCCTTCACTCCCTCTTCTTAAAGAAAAAGTGTCCATCCTGGCTGGTGTGGCTCAGTGATTGAGCGTCAATCCATGATCCAAGAGGTCATGGTTCGATTCCTGGTTGGGACACATGCCCAGGTTTCAAGCTTAATCCCCAGTAGGGGATGTGTAGGATGCAGCTGATCAATGATTCTCTCTCATCATTCATGTTTCTCTCTCTTCCTTTCTCTTCCTCTCTCTGAAATCAATAAAAATATACTTTTTTAAAATCTAACCCTTTACAGAAAAAGTCTGCTAACC